ATCAAATGTCAAACAAGAATCTTGGGAACAATTATACTCTATAAATAATATAGACAAAGCAACGAGACTGTTCATAGAGAAAATAAAAAAACTAATAGATATTAGTACCAATAAAGTAATAATTAGTCACAAAGAGAAAAGCAGAAATGCCTGGATTACCAAAGGATTAATAACATCGGCAATAGAAAAAGAAAGACTATATAATGTAATGAAACTAACGCCAACTACAGAGAATACCGACTGCTACAACTAATATAAAAATAAATTTATAGAGCTTGTAAGGCAAACCAAACGAAAACATTACCTAAATAAATTGAATAATAACTTAAATGATCCTAAACGGCTTTGGACAACTATTGATGAGATTACTGGGAAAACAAAATTTAAAGAGTGTGTCACTGAGTTAAATACAACATCGGGAACAGTATTAAAAAATACTCAACAGATATGCGATGAATTTGTACAATTCTTTACTGACATAGGCGAAAATTTAGCAAGTAATATACAAGCAAATGTACAAAATACTCAACCTCCAAAAAGAACTTTGAACTCATTTATTTTGGATAAAGTCGAGCAATGTGAAGTATACACCACTGTTATGTCCTTAAAAAATCGGAAAAGTCCTGGGTTCGATGGTATTAAAAGCGAGCATTTGAAAATTATAGCCGAGGATATAACAGAACCACTCACTTACCTAATCAACAAATGCTTTGAATCTGGCATATATCCCTCAATTTTAAAAAAGGTAATATAATACCGATACATAAATCAGGAACAAAAACAGATGTTAACAACTATAGACCAATATCAATAATATCCAGTGTAGCAAAGGTTTTTGAAAAAGTTTTATCTACTAGAATGATTCGATACCCCACAAAATTCAAAATTTTAAGTGAAAATCAATATGGATTTACAGAAGGGAAGGCTACATCGGACGCAATAACTAAAATTGTAAATCAAATACATCAAAATATTTATAACAGAATCCCTTCAATCTGCATTTTTGTTGATTTAAAGAAAGCTTTCGATACAGTTAATCACAAATTATTATTAGAAGCATTGGAGAGAATTGGTTTCAGAGGAAACGCGTACTCACTGATCGAAAGTCTGTGCAGATATCAGGATCATTTAGTAAATAAATGTATATTAAGTGTGGTGTCCCACAAGGAACTGTCTTAGGCCCGCTGTTATTCAATATATATTTAAATGATATTTTCCAAATTAATTGTGTTGGCAAAATAACTAGTTTTGCAGATGATACTGCAATATTATATGAAGGCACTGACTGGTCTGATCTGAAAAATGTAATTGAAAATGATTTTATCAAAATTATTCGGTGGTTTAACAGTAGAAAATTAAGCATTAACTACTCTAAAACACATTTTTTACCATTTGGATCTTATGCTAGACATCTGCCAAATTACTCAAATTTCTCCTTCAATATTAATGATCAAAAAATGCAAATTAATAGAGTGCCCAACATAAAATACCTTGGAGTGGCTTTGGATCCTCACTTACGATGGGACATCTATGTCAATTATATTTTAAAGAAAGTTAGATTTGTATCCTACAAAATTAAATACCTTGGGAATATGTTGACAGAAAAATATCTTCGAACATTATACCATGCACTGATTGAGCCTCATCTCACATATGGTGTATTAGCATGGGGAGCTGCGTGTTCCTCACATATCTATAATTTAGATGTTTTTCAAAAAAGTATTCTAAAAATGATATTTAAAAAACCGAAACTTTATCTCACTGAAAAATTATACGCAGATGTTCGAATGTATGATATAAGACAGCTTTATTTCTTACACAGTATCACTCACTACCATAAATTTGTAAATACCGGCCAAAAAATTAAACATAATCATTATACCAGGTACAAAATTCATGGCACAGTAGTTCCTCAACCGCATAAATCTATAATGCAGCGATCATATCTCTATTTAGCGCTAAATTTTATGAAATTATACCTAAAGACTTTAAGTCATTTACGTTTTGGAAATTGTTTCAAAATAAATTTAAAAAAGTGGCTACATTCTATATCTAGGACTGAAATTCATAAACTCATAAATACGAACATCAACTAAATACATAATCTACTGTAGCTAATTTTTGTCCTTTTTTGTCATTTGCATTCTACAATTGCAACTTAAAATTATTGGTCCATGTACAGGCGATGCCTTCTATTGGGCCTGTTTTGATTTTATATTTATTTACTCATATTATTTTGTTATCTTTGTACATTGAGTGAATAAATATTATTATTATTATTATTATTATTATTATATAATTCACCGGAAATGCTGCGCTAGGCAGAGGAATTACCGAGGTACCTTGTAGTAGCTATCAATACATACATTTTTAGACAGAAAAAAGTTAATCATCCTGAAATCAAGTTGTGTTATTAAGGGTGCAAAAGCTCGAAATCGGTAAATATATTTCATGGCGATCCTGCCAGGATTCAAGTCATGAAGATCGTGCCACTCATATCCATCGGCCCGTCTGTAACCAGGAAAGTACTGTCTCAGATTGTGATTGAATTTTCACACAATGTTACTGCTATGTCGATCCAGTGGCAAAGCAGCTAGAGGCAAACAACGAAGAGTCCTAAAATTGCTCAAACTTCTTTTTTATGTTTTAGAGGCTCTTGACCATTTTCGGAAAAATAGTTTGTCGGGGTTTGCATGGGTGGTGAGAGTAAAATGGTGTATAGAATAAAAGCTTATTGCTATAAACTATCAGGTTTATTTTCAGTATCCAATCCCCGACCTGACAAGATGCTTTTCTTTTTCTTTCATTCATTCTGGAGTTTCCGTCAACTATGAATGTACCTCCAAAGTTCGTGTTCTTGATGTGGTTTTGTGTCACCGTAGTCGAAACTAAATTTTCGAGAATAGGATCTTTATGCGGCATTAGATTCCTAGAAATTTAAGTATTTAAGAAACATGTATCCTGCCTTTTTTAAGATAAAAATGCTTGATGCTCGTTCTGGAACTAGAAACAGCAAGCAAACTTTATTAGGTATTACGAAATCTAAGCTCTCAATTACAACATCATCGACTTTTGATGGATATAAATCTTTCGGTGTATAAGAGAGTTCTTTGTAATATGGAGTAAGATGAATTACCTGAACCTGGGATAGTGCCTAGTGCTGCAAACATGCCAAACTTAATATTACAATAATTGTAGACATTCTATGTGAAAGTGCTCATGGATAAAATATATTTTCACACCAGTGCGGTGCTAATAAAAATTTTATTTATACCTACATTAAGTAACCTTTATTTACATATTAGTCACGTTCGAGTGAACATATTCAAACACAAAACTGTACGCGGATCGAGATCAGCTTCTCTACCGAGCCCACGTAAGTGTCCAGAAGCTGTGGGGTTCTTAGCTTTCTTACTGAATATTTCAAAACTAAATACTGACCTTACGGATTTGCTTGATATTGTGATGAAGATTAATTTTCATGCGGTTTGTGTTGTTCACATGATCATTTTTATTTACGAAATGATAAAATATGGAAGATCATGTTAGGAGACGAGATAGTGAATTTCCTTAAAATTTTGTACTAATGTTTTAATGCTCCAAAGGGCTCCGTAAATTTATTTCTGCTGAAAACGGATCAGTACGGGAAATGTTTGGATGTTACAAAAATAACATCAGAAAAGAAACTTCGTAAAAAAGTGTGTGTGTGTCAGGCTTCCATTTAAAGTGTTACTATACGCAAGAAACACCATCAGAAATGGACGAAATTCATGACCGGTGGATCACACCACGAGCGTTCTGACTGTCCCGCTAGTCTTTTTCAAAGTACAAATCCAAAAAAATATCTAAAAATGGGGATGATAGTAAAGTTTATTTCGAGACTTTTTTGAGCAAGATTCTTTACTATGTAACATCAGCTGTCGGGTTATATATCTATGGTGACTTCAAGTTCTTTTGACTACATCAGTTCTTAACTACACTACACATTTTTTTATGCGAACTATATCCACACCCACTGTTAGCATGCATATTTTTTGCTGGACGTCAGAAACACGCGCAGGCATCTGAAAGGCGATTTATGTCGTTCAACAGGCGAATTTAACGACCGAAACAAGCTTGTTAAAGAAGCCGGAGCTTTGCTTGGAAAGGCAAACACACGCAAACACAACCAACCCTCAAAGAGCTTTTGACATACTCGCAAGGACGCGGCGCGGCTCAGAGGTAAAACCTCTGCCGCGCGCTGCTGGACAAACGGGCATTTTTTGGTAAAAAAACGGTTCTGTTGACAACTTCCAGTGGTGGAACATGGCAAATATTGATGGGTGCCTTTATACACTCTAACTTCAAGCACTATTTACAAACAAAATATGTGGCCAGCCAGTACTTGAAATTCCTTACCAAATGGATAGTCAGTGTTATTCTTCAATTTCTTTTTTACGTTTGCGGTGTTATTTTGCCGCAAATTGGCTTTGGTATTTAGTTGATTCTGAGAAGGAAACTTTCAGGATATCCTGTATGTAAAATTGGATCCGTTGGCGTAGCGACCAGGACTACAACAGAGTTTTCTTACTCGCCAAATCGGTTTTAAAATACCCGTCTCGTGTTTCGCTATGTTAGCTGCTATAGAAAAAAGGTTGTAACAGTTATAATTTTCTCCTGAAGACGTTAGCAGCAAAACACCTGACGGTATTAAAAAAACCGGCGAGTGTGAAAGCAAAGTGTTTAGACTAAATGACTCTTTCGAAAGCACATCTGCCAAGAAAGCGCCCTTGGTTAGGCGATTCGCTCATAGATGGCTCGCTATCTCACAAGAAATCGCTCTTAGCTTGGCGATTCACTCATAGATGGCTTTATACATACTGAGCCAATGTTGCCAAACTGACAGAAATGTTTAGAAACTGGTACATTTATACTGAGCTAAATAAAGTACAGTTTTCTTTACGGTTTTTGGCGGTTACATTCCAAATAAGTAAGAATTCTGTTATAACTGTAACACTTACGAAGCTGAATTTCCTTACAAAAATTACACACTGCGCTACTTCTTGCTTGTTCTTGAACATACACAAGAATTGTGGATAGTTTTCACTGCTGGCATTGTAGTCGAATTTGTGTTTTATACCGGAGATCAACAAGAAGTGGACTTGAATCACATGCCCGTGACAAGCAGCTCATCATACTGACAGTGACAAGCATGAAATTGAAAGACTCAAACGTTAAAATCTTTATGGCGGTGGGACAACTCTAGAAAACGTGTGTCTGTGAGCTTACACAAATAAGTGTCCCCGCTTAGTGGCTTATTGAACATGTATGTGTGAGGGAGATGCACCACGAAACCATGAAAACACCTATAACAATTGAAGACACAAGTGGATAAAGGTGTCATGTCATATTTTTTAAAAATAGCTTTTAACTTAACCTTAACGAGTAAATCTTTTATTCTATGATTACTATGTTGCAAAAACAAAATTACAAACTAATTGAACTAAATATTTAAAATATCAATAAAGTAAAAAGTCATAATAAAAATTGTTTAATGTCAATTTTCTCCGCTCAATTATTTTGTAACGTGACATCTTTATCTACCTGTGTCTTCAATTGTCGACCTCTCTACATTTAGTTTCTAAAATATGATGCACACTGTTATAGTCTATTTACTGAATCAAAGCAGTTACGTCACAATATCAAATATTGAGTGACGTACATGGTTGCCACATTAATTAAAACTATTAGATCCTCGGACTTTTTACAAAATCTACTTTATGTCTTCGATGCCTTACCGCAACCAACATTACGGAGCATATGTTTTGTAAGCACTGGAGCTAGTATACATTTTATTTACTTGCTAATACCTCTCTTACGGACTTCAAAGGCAGTAATGGAGCTCCTCGGTCTGAAAATATTTCGTCAAAGAAATGACGAATTCTTTTCTTGTCGTCTCAGAGGTTTCGACATTTTAGCAAAATGCTTTAAAGGACACCTAAAAGTTTTGAAAAAATCTGTTTTTATAAAATGCAAATATTGAGGCAAAAAGAACGATTTAGGATCTATTTTGCATTAAGGTTGGTATTCAAATATATAATATTTGAATTAGCTGATAACTAAACTTTTAAGAATACTATTTACTATGAAATCCATTTCTTGAGATTGCTCAGATCGATACACTTGCAAAAATATTTTGTACTGTAGAACGTACACATTGAATGAAAAATATATTCCATAGATTGCAAATAGATAATAAATGAATGTTATGAATAAATATCCAAGCCAAAGTAAATTTGAACAAAACATGTTAACCCTTTGGGTCCGGAATAAAATAATTTTAGCATTTTCACTTCATAAACCTAGTTCCGAACCTAAAGGATGTAAAAAAACGTCAAACATTTTGTGAAAAAAATATATTACGCATATTTTTTTGAAAAAGTGGTGGTCACCCGAACGAACCAGTAGGACCACCAAACAAAAACTTTTACCAAAGAAACAAAGCATTATCTTTCCACAACATGAGGCTAATCGACATTATGATATGCAAGAAAACAATTTCTCTTGTCATTCAGGCATAAACCTACATCGCAAATCGTGCAACTCCACATATTCCTATGAGCTTCCTTTTTTGTGCTACAGATGGCGCATCGTCTGGAAGTTCCATATATAGGCATGGGAGCAGATTTTTCTGTCCTTTTTTCAATGGGAACGTATTTTATATAATGATTTATGAGTTCCATTGATTTTCGACCTTTTTTCTTGGTAATGCATCCCGACGCAAGTCCTGAAGAGACATTTATCCTGAACTGTTTCAAATCGAGAGTCGAACCGCAGCAGCGTTTTTGAAACAAAATGTACGCGTTGACTACCGTAGTATCGACAAAGTGACAAACTATCCTATGGTACCACTTCTTGCTTTTTCGATCTATCGCGTAGCATTCTTTTAGCATGTCCGCCTTATCGATGGCACCCATATGTGTACTGTAATCCACAACCAAAGACGGACAAGTTACTTCTGACACAGTTCCATCTTTATTCTTTCTATTGATTGTTATGGTAATTTGACAAGGAATAAACAGGTTTTTTGCGCTAGTTTTTTATCATTGATAAAGTCATCTGGCAAATATTTTTTCCCTTTTCTCAAAGTGCCACAACCACATATTTCTATACCCTGAATCATCAGCCCGCACCCAAACTTTGTATCCACTCCATTTATTTTTTTCTGTAAAAAAAAAATAAATGATCGTTTACAGTCCTAGTGGTTACCTCAAGAAACCACTACATATTACATGGAACAAAACAATGTCAGATGGTAAATTGATCAATTGAGTCGGAAGGTATGAAATATTACAGTTATAAAACTAAATACTGACGTGTCATTTCAATTTTCACTCAGTGTGTTCACGTTTACAAACAGTCGAAAAAAGACACACGCGGAACCTTCGCAATGGATAAAGAAACTTCACGGAATACACACTTCCTCGCACGGGGCAGAGCCGTCAATTTTTTTCCCGATAGATGTCACTAACGGTAATATTTTTAAACCGCGGTAAGGCTACCCGATCAGTAGGACTGAAATTACGTGTTTTAATATACGTGGTTACATGGATCGACCAGTAGAACGGAAAGGGTTAAACCTTTAGCTACAAGTGACAGACAACAAATTCATCCAAAAAGGATTATCCTCCAACACCGCATTTATCTATGACCAAATAAGATCAACAGGTGTTTGGACGCCATCAGCAGTTTTGTGAACGCTATGCATTTGGTTACGTCTGCATCTCTCTATCATTTTTATGTGAATACGTATAGTACAGGCATCTATTAGGGTTTTTAGCCTTGCTGTCACTTTCAGGGTAGGGGCTGAGAACGAATTAGCTTTGGCAAACCGTTTGTTTGTGTCCTGTTTGTTTGACTTCAAGGTTAGATGTTTACCATACTGATGAATGCTAAAAAGCACGACATAGCGTTATCTGGGGTTGGTCGGCAAGCGAACATATTCTGCCCAGCTCGTTATCATTCATACTTACCCAGTGTAACCTGAGTTGTATTGATGATGTGTTTGTGTGTTTCTTATAGGGTCACAGCAGCTCAGAGTAACTTGAAACACTGCATTTTTTATACGACCTTGTTTATTAGAATACCGCAACTTTATTCAGTTTGTTATGAGCTATCAACCATAATATCCTTGTATCAGGGGTAATTGAATATACAGGGTGACTTTGAAGTTGAGTCATTAATTTCCAGATAATGATTGTAGAAGGAAGATAAACCAAAATATGTGTGTAAAAATAAAAAAATAAATAAAAAAAAATGTTACCTTGTTTAATAAAGTATCGTCCCGACAAGTATTTCAGTGCGGACCTGCATTTGATCGTGCGGTCTTGGAGCAGCATGCCCTGACCTGTGAGGTCTTAAGTCACCTGATTCACGAGCGCTTTGTACTACATTAACAAAGGCACGAGGAGTTGGTTGCACTCGATTGAGAAACCGATTCGCATAAATCCGTGATGCATCCGGGAGCATTTTGTAAAGACTGCCCCCCCGTAAATAAGAATCATGTCCACAAGTTCAGCATTTTCGTAAACGTGTGCCATTTTTGATTTCGTTTGAGCCACGCAACAAACACTACTATTCACTAACGCGTTATCGACTGACGAAAAACATCGTGATAAACGTTTCAAATTCTTTCGCTTTTTTGTTTCCGATGCGATGAACCGGTCAGGCGGATTATATCCGTTGTCGCCAAACACGAACATATTATTATTGAGACAGGGCGGTACTCAAACTTCCAAAGGGCTATAACTTTGTTACTTTAATTTTACCAGAAAAATGGTAAAGGAAAAAAACATTTCTTTTGATCAGATCTACTCACTGTTAAAATAAATGACTCAACTTCGAAGTCACCCTGTATAACGTTCTGAGTACTTGAGAAATAGAAAAAATTAATCTGATATTCACGTGGAAGAATATCTTGTAATCGTATTTATAGACAGGGCTGAGTGGTTCCTCAGACGTTTGTTTTATAAAATTTCTTTGATTATTTGAGATTTGGGCCCCCAGTCATGATGGGGCCTGGGCACGTATCACTTGGGTAAGAACTATTAAAAACCACAATGTAACGTAACCTTACCTATATTTTTTTAACGATAAAATGAAAAAAATACTGGATATAGTGTGAGGCATAGCAAGTTCGTTTCTGGGAGTTATTTTGCCTTAAATGCCTGCCAGATCTCCAAAGGTCAAGAAACGGCAGCTCATAAGCGTATCAGTCCATACTATGCATCGTAAGTATCTGTTGATTCTCTTGTACAGAAAAAACGTAGAAGGGTTACATGACTTATTTCAGATATTCTGTAACGTGGCACCTTATCCTGCAGTTACCTCGCTGCACTTATCTTACAACCCACCCCTGAGTTCGGTGGCCTTTGCGAAAAAGCGTTTTATTCATTATTTGATCAGCAAACCTAGCTGCAATACGTCAGCAGGAATTATGGAGACATGGGTACACGGGGAGAAACGTGCTTAGATGCCTTTTGAACTAGGCAGTCAGAGATAATACCAGATTCGAAAGTCAGAAGGCTTTTATTATTGGAGAGCATCAATTCAAAACCAAACATGTTAAAGTAGTTTTGAGACATTAACAAAAAAACTTCTTATACTATGGTCAGTAATCTCTGATTGAAACTACACTGTCCATACTTGATGTTGTTCAGAGAAGTATTGATTGATAACATTTCCCTAGCTGTCTTGGACCCTTTTATACTGACGTGACGTGGGCTAGCGATCTGACTCTTTTAATGGTATGCCAACGAACTCTTCTGCTCAGAGCTCTCCTAGATGATGCTGAGGCGCATTAGGCCAGTCAGACGGACCCGCTAGGCTTCTGACTCTCTTACTATCTCTGCCGATCTTCGTAGATCCAGAACTAGTCGCTCCTTTGTTCCTAGGACGTCAACAGTGCGGAACAATCTCTATAGTGAGGTTCTAATCAGTCCTACTAAGCCAGATTCAGAAATCAGATTACCAAGGTGTCTTCAAGTACCTTCAGAAGTCGCGCGGTGTCTCGTTATTTAGTCTTCTGCTGCTGCTGCATCAATACATGGTCAAAGTTGGGACAAGTTCTCCTAGTAACACTTATACCAAAGCCTTTGTGTTAACCTAGTTTATGAACAAACGGAATTAGA